AGGAGGCTGTTCCAAAAACTAAGGCAAGTGAAACAAACACATACAATTGCAGACATGATTATTTTCCCATTCTGAATTAAATTATAAGTACCTAAATAAATTTTCAGTAGTTTACTCATTTCTTCCTAACAACCTTTATAATATTTAAATGTAGTTTTAACAATGTATGAAACATAGAATTGATATCTTAAAGGAAAACACAAGAATGACAAATATTACCAAAAAAAATCTACCAGGATAGTAAAGAAAAAATGAAAAATAGGACCTCTAAAAAGAGACAAAAACTATTCTAATGACTAAAATTGTTCTTGAAGAATCTAACAGTCAAAACTCAGATCTGTAGAAACACTGTGAGTTTATGTATATGTATGACATCAAAGGGCTCAAAGAAATAGCCACAGAAACAAGTCATTAAAGAAATCTATCTAATTTCACTTCCTAATCAATGTAAGTAGATACAGCATATCCTCTACACATAAAATATCATAGCCCTGAATTCCAAATACAAATTCAATTCTTTCTCTGTTGAGGAAAAATATATTCTGCAACAGGTACACTCATTTATTCCAAATGATCCCTTAGTGGTTATTAAATAGTTTAGTAATCTATTTGGAGACATCACCAGTAATACCAAGAGAATATGTGTAGAGAGATACTCTATTCTTGTCCTTCAATAATTCACACATATTTTGTGCATTCACAATTATTTTTGAGAATCTACTATGTGTAAGATTCTGTGTTAGGCATTGGGGTAGCAACAAAGATGAGTAAAGGAGATATTTATTATCTAATGAGGTACAAAGACTGACAAATACTATTTTCGATTTATAGTTGGGAATCCACGTATGAAAAGGTCTGACAAATTATATGCAAATTTTTGACTGCTGGGATGGTGGGTTCCCCTAACCCCTCTCGTTGTTCAAGGGTCAACTATAATTACAATTGGAATTTAGGTGAAGAAATATGGGGTGAGAATGGAGGAAGAACAGAACAGCTATCCTGCAAATCGCTGCTTTTTTCTTTTGGCTAAAACTAAAATACAAATACATTTAAACATTCCTAAAAAACAAGTTCTTGCCTTATATATGTTCCCTTTTTCATTTTGTATGTCCTTGTTTTTAAGCTTACTGACTTTGCTGCCTACTACATGCACAAAAGATGGCTTAGACTAAGTAAGGAATATACATGAACACATTTATATAAAAATATAAATTTGAGGAAGTGGGGAGGACATACAAAGGTTTTAGGCTTACCTGATGTGCTCACTGTTATAGTTATTCCTTGGCTCCTTTCTGCCTCATCTAGCAGCAATGAGCAGGATATAAGCAACTCTTACCCACTGGCTTCTCTTGGATCTCCCTGATGCTAAACCCTACTCTAGAACTATCAGCAGTGTCCGCTGGTAGCCAGAGGTGGGTGCTGGGCTGGCCCTCCACACAATGATAACCCCTCACCCATCACTCATTGAGTGATATCAAAAGGAAAAAGAGCCGAAGCTGGTTTGGCTCAGTGGTAGAGCGTCGGTCTGCGGACTGAAAGGTCCCAGGTTCGATTCCGGTCAAGGGCATGTACATTGGTTGCGGGCACATCCCCAGTAGGGGGTGTGCAAGAGGCAGCTGGTCGATGTTTCTCTCTCATTGATGTTTCTAGATCTCTATCTCTCTCCCTTCCTCTCTGTAAAAAATCAATAAAATATATTTAAAAAAAAAAAAAAAAGGAAAAAGAGTCGCTTGGGGAAGAGTCAAGTAATTTACCGATACTTCACAGTATTTATAAACTTGGTTTAGCTTTTAAGCCAGGACAAATATTTCAATAAACAAATACCTAATGTTTCAGCAGCCAGCAAAATTTAAACTTGACAAACAAATCCACTCACAGCCTTGTCCCAACTTACCTTTCCAGCCTTCTCTCTTGCCATTTTTGCCTATATTCTTTTGATTCCTGCCTCACTGAACACTTTCCATATTCCCTGAAAACATCAGTTACTGTATAAAGTGTATCTTTCCAAAATGTTGTTCCCTCAGTCTGGTTTACTCTCTCCCCTTGTCAATTATTTTCATTCAGCCTTGGAAACTCAGTTCAAATCCTGGTTCCTTGGCAAAGCCTTAGTTTACACAATACAATGTTAAACACTCATGCCACCATGCTTATCTACCTCCTTATGAATCTGGTCCTTTTTCTGTCTCTTGCTACTAGACTATATGTACTCTGGGAGTGGAAATTTCTGTATCCATTTCAGTTTCCCTAGTACCAAGCAGAGTGCCAAGAAAGTATCAATAATTGGTGAATCACCAATACTTTGCTCAAAGTAAGCGTTTGATAAGTGTGTCAGTGTCAATAATTTTAGTCAAAGCTTGCTAAAATCTATTTCATCTGCTCTACTTTCAGTAAGCCTGAGTATGTTGCTATGAGAAAAAAAGACCTTTTGGGGAATCCACTACTAGTTCCTTTTTGGGTTCATCTAATGAACAGTGAACCTGCTGTTCATCATAGTAAAGACACTTGAACCTCAGAACCACAAGTACTTGTGCTTAAATCTCACTTCTGCCCCTTCATAAATTTAACATGGAAATGATCTCTTTTGTGATACTTACAGTTAAGTATCTCAAGGTTTGGTTCCTTTTTGCACTATTTTTCTGTATTCAGAGAGTCCATCATAGTATACATTACAGAAGTATTTTGTATTAGTCTAAAAACTACACATACTTCTTACTGGCAATACCTTTAAGTGATATAAGTAAGTCACATTAGCTATTGATGTTATATGTAAATTTAAAAAATATAATGTACGTCCACAGACAGCCACATACTACAGTAGCTCATTTAGCCAGCATATTATGATTCTCTTTAAAGAATCTAAATTATTTATCCGGCATTACCAAGGAACAAGGTTAAATTACAAACCATATTTTTCTAATAAGTTTTATAAGCATCACATATCTTCAAAATTTTAAATATTCTCACTGGATATATATCATACAGCATTATACAGTCCCACTTTTTAAAAGTCCAGCACAACAAATATGACCTCACTTTTTCTTGATGATTCAAGATCGTTATTATCAACGTCAATTACTCCACTAGGCACCATCCCTCTGTGATGTAAGGTTACCCATAGGGCTATTATGAATGTAAGGCTATTTGCCTTTATCCTAAGTGGATTCAGATTGTTTTTTATGACTCTGCAAACAGTATGTTCTGATAGTTACTTTTCAAACAGTCATCTAGGTGAGGACTTGGGAATGTTTAAACTCTCTTCAAGAGCTCAGTGCATAGGTTTGGTGACTGCAATTTGTTAGGAAAAGGTCTCTTCTTTCCCTCAATATTTCCTATATCTATGAGGTAGCTGAGACTGTCGGGAGACTAACAATTGAGTAAGTTGTCCAGAAGTAGTGCTAGCCTTCATATGTATGCATTATTGCTTTATTACTTAAACTCAAGAATAGTTAGTCTTATTATTAAGGTAAACCTTAGATTAGATATCAACTTATTAAATACAAATAAAATTATTGTTTAATTAATTCCAAATTTAAAAGCCCAGTCATGAACTTCAAACTCAACTTATAAGTACCATCCTGCAGATGGATATTCTTCAATTACGAACTTAAAAAAAAATTCTAAGAATTCACCATTTTATTCCAGCACGATGGCTTAAAATTTCAAATTCTAATTCAATCCCTTTGTACCACACTCTGTATATGGATAGTTTCAGTATATTTGATCTCTGTTTCATCAGGAAAATAAGGAGAGGAGAGGGGGAAATGCTGCCTTCATTCATAAAAAGTTTTAAAAATAGGTAGCTATGTCTATGGAACGAAGAAATTTAATAAAAGGCATCAAGTCTGATATTTTGATATTCTTATTAAAACTGGTTTAGAATATTAATCCAACATTTGCCTATGAACTTTAAAAATGAAAAAGTTTGTAAAAATTTGAAAGGGCACAATAACAAATATTCACAAACTCTCCAAGGCACTAAGATACAATAAAAGGAAATCTTTCTCCTCAGACTTAATCCAAAATTAAACATCATTTAAGTTATTAACTTACTAATGAATAACTACTTATATATCTCAAAATATCAGTTCTACTTAAAAGGTTCCAATTTAAAAAAAATAGCATTGGAATAAGTAAATAACATATTAACTTAGCTGAATTAAAAAAAAAACACATTTTTTCCATAGAAAAATCTATTTACATTTTATATTGATTTCCATTTATCTACAACAATGACCAAGATCATGAAAGTAATTCTTTCCAATGAATTTTAATAATATGATTAGAATGTATATGATTTAATTATATGATTCTTGCTCAATAAACAAAGAAAATGGATGAATTAAAATATGGATTAGTCAGCATTTTATCAAAATGGTCCAAATTACACCTGCAACTGGTGGTCAGCTGACCTGATCTCTTACAGCCTTTCCATCTCAGCATTCCTTTGAAGTTAATACTGAGTCTCAGTACTACCTGTCAGTTTAAGAATTATTTTTAAATGGGATATTTCTTCCAGGGTATTTCTAGAGCATTTCAATGGTCATTTAAAACAGACTGAGTCAAAGCACAGACCAGATTTCAGAATTAGAACTCACAATTGTTTAAATTCTCTTATAATTTTCTCTGCAACTATGATCATTCTCTACTTATGTTTCAGTTCTGGAAAATAAAAAAATAAAAAAAAATCTCACCAGCATCTTTATAGAATTGTGATAGGTTTTGGCCAGTGATTTGATTAAAGGGCATTCTGCAAAGATTTGTACTCTATTGTTCAGAGGAATTAGAATTTAATGTACTTAAGTACATAATTTGGAAGTATCCCACAAGTAAAATTAAAATTCCCTAAAAACAGTTAATCTATAGAAATTGACAACTCTGTCTTTAACCCTAAGTATTGTGAAGAAATTCTTGAGAAGTAAAATGTTTTACTCCTTAGCAAGTGTAACTCTAAGAAGCAACCACAAAAGTGAAATATCCTTTTAGAGAAGAGAAACACTTACTGGTACTTTGAAAGGTGAGGTGTAAGCAGTGTCCATGGAGTTGGTTTTCTCGGAGGTACTGGTCCCTGAGATACTCCGTCTGCGAGGGGATCTTTCTGCTGGCACCTCTGAAAAAGAAACACCATTAAGAACCCAAAATTTTAAATGTGTAACTTAATTGGAAAATTATTCCCACTCCCAACCCCCTAAAAAAATCAGTTTGCTTTAAAGGTGCATAATAAATATTCTAGAACCACATAATTTCTCTTTTTATCTTTGAGGTGTTTGAACTATGTAGACACTAGGAGATGGTCACAGTTAAGAATATGCTTTAGTGTGACTGCTTATGATTCATCTGTGCACATATAAAAATAATTTCTTTTGAGCTATGGTTAATATCTATAAGTTCACTTAATATTTGTATTTCACAATGTATGAATCTACTTCTCTATTTGTTAGCAGCAGAGGAGTTAATAGAATTTTTTTATATTCTTGTGAGCAAAATAGTCTAGTGTTGCTCAGGATTTGGAGGTGTTTGCACAAAGGTCAAAGTTCAGTTCAGTGCAAATAAGATGATTCACCGGACTGCAACCAAAGGGCCATGTGAAGACTGAAAGCTGCTGCCAGGAGAAAATAACATATATGTCTATGCAGATATAAAAATAGATCAGCTTCTCCTTGTTCTCGCAAAATGACCTTACTAAGACATTACTCTGGAATCCTAAATCTGTTCAAACTACCTAACAAGCTTCAGATTTTGCACACAATGTGATGAATATCCAACTTAACTACTATGCACTACGTTAAGGTTACATTTAATTTTTATAGAGTGATATACATATGCATATTTATGCACATACACACACGGAGATAATAGATAGATACATATTATACCTTTATCACAACTGCTTCCCATCTCCACTTCAACTGACAGATACATAGGAATCCAGCTTCTCAGATAACATTAAATAATCTCAACATGAACAAGGAAAAAAAAAAACATCCTAAAAAAAGTATTCTGTGTTATCTTCCAGATCTTAAAAAATGAGAAGTAAATCCTGACTCCGGAGCCTGACATTTTGCTTCCTGCTGCTCTCCCTTTAAAAGATAGATGCCGTTTAAACTTCCATTTCTGGCCTCCTGGCCCCTGGGATCCGTGCTACTTCCACTTAAGAGAAAGCGTCTTTCTCTCGCTCCCTCCCTGTGTCTTGCTCTCCCCCCATCCCTCCCTCTCTACAGCTTGCAGAGAGAGTAAGCGAGAAAGAACACACAGGACTGCAGCTATTCAATCAATCGCTCTCACTGCACATCCTCATTAGATATTTTCAGGCTATTAGCAGACCCACAACCACTGCCCTACCCCACCCCCTGCCCCCACATTACAGAAAATTTCACTGTATTGTACTAATCTGCAGCAAGAAAAAAACGTTTTCTGAAATTTATATTTAGCTCGTGCCAAAAGGACACCATTTTACACAGATTCAGTAATGCACACAGTCAATCCCTCCTATGAAAATCCAATTGGAAGTGCTTACCCTATTACTATGTTTGCCTGTTGGATAGCGATAGGCTTCCCACGACTAAATATCATCTCTGTGACATCTTGACTAGTGAAACATAAGCCAAATTGCAGCATTCCTAATGACTGAGAGGTTGGCAGCAAAGTGCCTTACATGCCTGCAGCAGATGAAAGTTCCACGCTATTACTGTGTTTTACAATCATGACCAATAAGTAACTGTAAGTCTCAACTTCTCACTAACCACCAATGGTTAAATAAGCCTTAATGTACAAAGTCATTTTCAGAATTAGGCACACACAATTTAGTGCACATTGCTAAAAAAGTAAAATAAAAAATAGCAGTATATTTAGCTAAAATTCACAGGCATGGCACAAAGCATTGGATTTAAACAAATCAGTTAAACGCATTGAACAAGACCATCAGACTCCAGCAACATGACATTAAAGAGTGATCTTCCAAGTTAGGAAAGTCATGGGGAGCAGGCAGTTGGGTGGAGGAGGGGCTGGTTAAGGTAGAATATAATCTCATCTTTCCTCTGATGAGTACTTATAATTAGAAAGCCTGAATATTACAATAAAATATATTTTAATCTCTGAATAATTGATGGAGAAACCAAATTAGGAGAAAGCTCCACTAAGCAAGGATAAAATGAAAGTTTCCTTTAATTTGAAATGTTCTAAGAAAATAAAATTGAAACATTTTTTCACTTCCTTCCAAACATCTAATTTTATTTTTCAGGCATATAAATTCATTAAATAAATATATTTCAGTGCCTTTAGCTATTTTGAAATTATTGGCTAAAATGAACAACCACATTTCAACTCTAACACATACATTATTTGTTTGGTTTATTTTTGCTTTTAGATTCTCTTTCTGTATCATGAAAAAGACAACTCACAACTCTGATATAGCTTAAAGAATTTATTTGAATTCAAAAAAAGAAATTAAATTATTCTTGAAATTTGAACAATTGCCCCTAAAGAGGGAAAAGAAAGCATAAAGAATACAAGGTAAACTTAATAAACTATTAAAATAGTAAGAAGTCTATAATTCTTGACTTTCTCAACCCCAACAATCAAAAAAGAAAGAAAAAAAGGCCTTTTAATATCCAGGTTCTTTAGTTCTCAGAATATTCTTCACTATTTCAAAGCTGAGAGAAAAATATATACCCCAGGAACCAATGTCCATTTAGAAACAGGGTGGCAGCATCCGTAAGAACAGTATTAACAACTCACTGGGTTAGTCACAGGCAGGCCTGCATAGTAAACTGACTCAGCCACCTTTAACTTTTAAGTCTCCAATTAGAAAGGAAAGCTGCTACTATACTCTTAAAGCTACATTTCTGCTGAGTTGGACCAAAAATCTATAGTGGTTCCAGTAGGCCAAATTTAGACAGCTTTCTCCCTTACCCCCATTTCTGCTATTATGCTATCGCATTATTTTCACCTGCTATAAATATTAATGATCTTTCATAGTCACAATATTTAATTATAGTAATTTGAAAATATGTTTGCTAAGGCTGAGACATATAATATTGTTTCAGTAAAGGTCTGAAACATTTTGTTCAGTTCCTCATCATCTAAAAATAGTATTTTTCATCTTCAGATTGAAAGACAAAAAAAATGTTATAAAAAAACCTTTAAATTTTAAATTTAACTCATCATTTCCTTTGCCATTAGGTATGAACTGAGATGAGGTGACAACTTTAATGAGAGATAACCTCCAACCCAGCCCTACATAGAATGATGTATTGAACAGAGAGAACATTTGGATGCTTTTCTTATCAAGAACTATCAACTATCTGTGTGTCCTGTATGAGCCATTTCACCTTTCCTGCTCTGATCCTCATTAATAAACTGGGTTATTCAGACCAACCAGCGATGAGGACAAGATGAATGAGTTCATATGCTTTGATGCAAAATTAGCATTTTGGAAAAAAGGGTCTCCCTAAATACAAAGTGTAGTGTTATAACATCATTTCTTCGACATGCACATTTTCCTCTTTGTCAATGCGCTCTCTCTGAAAAGTGTGGTGAAGAAATCGACAACTGGACAATTATAAGGGCAAAAACACTTGTGGTGGAGGATATGCTTGTTCAACAAACAAAACTCAACCTCCGCCTTTAGAATGTAGTAGTGTTTTCGTGGCCTTTAGTTTATTTTTCAGGAAGCAAATATCAAAAGTGATTCAGGGGTGAAAAACAAAGTAAGACAGTGCTAAGGAGTTGAAGAGGTATAGTAATTTAGATACAGTGAATAGGTAGTTTCCTTGGGAGGGTGAGTGAGAGATAATACTTAAGAAAGTAAGGAAGTCAGCCTTGAAGATTTCTCAGGGAAGAACATTGGAAACTAATGCAAAGCTTCTAGGGTAAACAGCAGCAGGGAGCCCATGGGACTCTTGTCACTGAGCAGGACTATTTGCAGCAGAGTGCTCCTATTTGTTTGTAGCTTACAGGCCTACACATAAAAATGCAAAGAAAAACCACTGGGTGAAATACACTTCACCCGAAGATACAAATCTCAGAGAAACCCTATGAACATATACTTACTGACACTTTCTTAATTATTTTCTTTTCAGGATTTTGAATAATGAATCTGATTGAAATAATTCTGGAATATTATGTTTGGAAAGAGAATAAAAGAAAATGTTTTTATCATATATGTTTGCTAATACATAAATATTTTAACTGAGGGTTAGTTTAAAACCTTCTGAAAGTATCAAAAGAGAAAGGTTATCTGTTATATGACATCATTATGACTATATATCTAGAAGCATAAAATAAACTACATTTACTTTTTGTTCAATCATATTTAACCAAAATTCATATGTCATCATCATGTCATATATGCATATATATAACATAAATAATGCAGCTTAAAATGTCAGGAATTCTGGTAACGTCTACCACTTTTAGGTTAAGTTACAATATCTAACTTTTTTAAAGGTAGATAGCCCAGCTGGCGTGGCTCAGTGGTTGACCAATGACCCATTCACCAGAGGTTGCTGGTTCAATTGCTGGCTAGGGCCTCCTACATACCCCACACTAGAGATCAAGCCCACAACTCAGGTATGTACCCCGACCAAGAATGGAACCATGGCCTCCTGGTTCATAGGTTGATGTTCAACCACTGAGCTATGCAGACTGGGCCAGTGGGGGCAAATTTTAAAAAAGGGAATAATCTCACCAATGTGAAAGTCATTTCAGAAAATTCAACATGAAAGATGAACAAAATGTAGAAAGTTATTTATAAATTTTAATTTGGTGGACAATGACGCAGGAACCAAAATATCTTTCTCATAGCAAGTTTCTCTAATTATGACAGACCAGAAAAACATTACATATTCATAGATTCAGTCAGTTTGGCACATATAGTATGTCTAAATATTTCACATGAATAGCAACCCAAACCAATTCCTAGTCATTTTGTTGTCCAGGATTATAAAATATAAATGAATGGGAATGCCCTTCCAATTCTAATATTCACAGCCCCTTTATTATTTTGATATTATATTTAAGAAACAAATGTTCTAATATTCTTAAAAGAATTTTTCAGTTCACTTTAAAAACCTTTTTAAAAATCAATAACATTTTAACACAGCATGATAG